GTTACACACTTACAAAATTTACAAGAAAATCTTATGGCCCAGATTTAAAAAAAAAGAAAAGAAAAAGGGATACAGACGCGGCGCGGGTAAGTGTGGGTGCGGGTAAAACCCACGACCCGCCCGCAATCCGCAAAACAAGAAAATTCTAAACTGTATCCAGCCCTAATAATTCTGCGAAACCGCCCAAATAGGTTTGGGTTTGGCAGTTTTTGCGGATCGGATAACCTTATGCCTAGCCTTATTAGCCATCCTATGGAAGAATTTGGCATTACGGTCCCCTCATCTTTCAACCACAAGCACCTGGATCTTTGGCGAAAGTTAATCTCTTTCATTCGAGCAATTTGCCCATATTCCTTCCGGACCACATCTCGACAAGCCATATCTTTTTCAGATAAACCATTTGCCACTTCTTTCTCATCCAGGCCTTGCAAAACTAACAAAATATTTGCCTTCCTTGCCTCTAGGCGACCAAATACCTCCTGATTCCACATCTTCGAATAAGATTTAAGGAGTTTAGCTTTTGAGCTAAGCGATAACTAGGCATGCCTACCACTTTATAACCCTCCCACCACTCCTTTACTTTCTCAGCAAAACGTTCTGCTTGTAACCACATGTTCTCAAAGCGAAATGGTGTCGGACCCCGCCGAACTCCCCCACTATCCAAAAGAACAGGCCAATGATTAGAAGTCGGGTGCTGCAGTCTAAGTTGAACCATCTAGGAGAAGTGCTTCTCTCAATCCTAAGTGACCAAGAATCTATAGATCTGGGACATCGCCCGACCTTCAAACCAGGTACAATCAGCTCCCTGCAGCAGTATATCGATTAACCCCATATCATCAATAAAAGAAAAGAAAGCCCTCACGTGTCTTGTCACCCGACTTGCCCCAAACTTCTCTGTTGGGCTTCTCACAACATTGAAGTCTCTACTAACACACCATGGCATCCCCCATCGAAAATCAATAACTTGTAATTCCTTCCAAAAGGCCACTCACTCCGCTCTCTTTACCGGCCCATACGCCCCAGTAAACATCCATCGAAACCATCCTTAACATATTTGAGCAAGCAAGATAAAGAAAACACTTCCACCTCTTCCTTTTCCTTCACCACCAGCCACCCCCTATAGCTGGTTGGAAAGCCCATTCGACATGTCAACCACCCCATATCTCTTGCACTACTTCTACTCCCACACATTCCATTTTGGTTTCCTGGAGGCACACCACATCCACCTTAGCACTTTTCAATAGAGATCTAACTACTGTCCTCTTCCCCCTATCATTTAAACCCTGCACATTCCAGATCAAAATTTTCAACTGCATGGCAACAACAATGGCTCTCCATGCCCCTTCCTCATTCTCCGATCACCCCAATTTGTGGTACGATCATAATTTATGGAGCACTCAAATCTGCATAGTTCCTGTTCTCCTTTGTTCTTCTGACCTACATGCTGCATCTCCTGACCACCCAACATACCCCCTCTCTGTGATAACTCAATAGTAGAAAACAACTTCAACGCCTCTTCTTCATGCTCCTCAAAAGAAACTCCCCAAAATTTACTAACCTCAGTAATTCGATTCAGCACCCAATCAGAAACCTCTTCTGAAGTCCGTGGATGACCTGTTTGGAAATTCATCTCCATATCCGCCTTTGTAATTGGTTCCATATTTGCCAAAGTCACATCCTCCACTTTCGTGGCTAATGGCTGAAGTACTAGAGCCATTCCATCACCCAAATCTGCCCAACAACCCTCCACCTCTTCCTCCCATGCCTCTCGGTCCCCCTGTCATTCCTGTTCTTCCCCACCCAGCTCCTCCCTTATCGGCACGATTATAGACCTTGTGACTCCGACCCACCATCCGACAGATGTTGCTCATGGTGTATAAGCGACGTCGGATAGGTCAAATCCATTTGCAGCTCTCGTTGCACCTCTTTACTTGACGTTGACGCCTCACCTCCTATGTTGCACTGTATCAACTGAATGCCACCATGCAGTGACCCGAAAACCCGATCGACAATTGGATTCAAGTGTTTACGCAACTCCTCTGTTGGGCTACTCGTTCCTGTGTCCAGGACCTGGGGCTCTTTTGACTTTAAGGTTGGGCCCTCATTACCCCTTACCGCTATAAGTTGTTGGCCCACTTGCACAGGTGCCCTAGACCTAGGGCCCATATCCTGCTGGCCCAATTCCTTAGCCTTAGTAACCATTTGGCCCATAACTTGAACAAATGGGCTCACCTCTGTCTTAGGCTGGTATGGTCTGCCCTAAGACCTACTTCTAGAATCCTCCCTCCTATATCTTTGATTATCCCAAATTTTCCAGTCCGCAAATCCCTCTGATCTTCAAGCCTCCATCGTCGCTTTTCCTTATCAAATTGAGAGTCACCGCGCGTCTTTACCGACGGTGGGCCAACTTTAATCATTGGCCCCATCTCCTACCAAATAGGGATCGAGTACACCTATGTCTCCTATCGGAGTGAAACCCTACTCGGGATGCGTTCGTCAACTCTGACCTGCGATCGTACTATTCTCAGATCTACTGATTATTCATCAGCTTCCACAAAGCCCCCACACTTGTCGCCGATTGCTAGATATGTCGCCTGCCCATGAAGATGTAATGGTAGTCCCATCACCGTTATCCACTAGTTTAGGTTATAGATCACACCCATCGATCACCTACCGGCGCCGCATCACCTCCTCTACCTCTCGACGTGATGGTAAAACAAACAAGAAGTCTTGACTTCCGATCGGCCTTATTTCCACTTTCCTTACCATCTTCCACCACTGTCTGACCCACTCCGTCATTGCTGAGAAGCCCACCCCTTTGCTCCCCTCCTCTCCGACTCTTCCCACCAACACCCTCTCCAACAAGCCAAACCACCCCTTTTTCGCCACACCTTGCACCATCTTAGCGCCTCCCTCCACTGACTCACCAAACCCCACAGACGACATAACAACTCTTCTCGCGGTCGTCTTCCTTTTCGCCTCATCAATCTTGGTCACCCAACCATCCCCTTTGGCAAAACCTTCCATAACCAATGCCACCCCCTCCCAGCCATCCCCAAACTCCGATCGGGAAAGGAACACCTGAGTTCTTTTACCCTCCGATGTTACCACTACCTAAAACGAAGAGCTGCCATTCTCCTTAGCACAAGTCCAAGTTGCCACACTATGTCGCTTCCCTTCTAAGCGACCCACAGACACATGGCAGCCTTGATTCCGCAACGCCATATGCAACTTCGCGCCAATCCATCCCACTTCGTACCCAACCAATCTTACTTCCCTGCGCAAGCCCTGCCCTCGCTCCACTATAGGCAGGCACCGATGACCCCATTGCCTTGCTGCCGTCTCCTCAATCTCGAAGGACCAGCCCCCCAGAAAGAGGATCCTCCGACGTAGCCTAGTCTCCTCCCTCATCGGAAGCATACCAGGTAAATATCGCATCTCACCGGAAATCTTTTCTAAAAACGGAAAGACAGAGAGAGAAAAAATACATCAAGTTATACCCTGCATGCATAATCATACGAAGCCTCTGTTGAGATTTCTATGTATTAAATGGAAACATCAACACATTGACTGGATGTAAATGATGCCATTATATGGAATTGTCCCTTTTTTAGGTCCTCCACTCTCTAAAATATAATGCAAAGCTTCCCCACAAGTTGAATTATATCAAACCAATCTCTATTGTAAATGAAATTATTCATAATTTCAACTCAATTAAGATGTTCCTAATTTAAAAAATAAATCTTAATTTTTATTTTATTTTTTGTTTATTTACTAGATTGACAACAAACTAGTAAAAAATAAATATTAGATTGATTTCAAATGGTAAACAAAATATTAGATTACATACTTTTTTCGTTCGGCTTGATGGGATCACATGAAAAAATCTCACCCTAAAATCAATGAGGCATGTTTGTTTGGGTCGAGATGACCTTAGGATTGGGTTAATAATCTAACAAATTACATAATCCAATGTTTGACTAAGAAAATTTTGGTCTCGACTAATAATCCATCTAGACATGGTATCACCCATAAGAAGGGACTATTGATAATAGAGGATTAAGGAGAGGTTCGGACTAATTAGTTAAATTGCAAAATTGATAGAATTTTATCAATTCCTCCCATAATCACATGTCAATCCAAAACATGAGATAGGATACACAATTCTGTCAAATAAAAATGACTTAAATGCATTATATATACATGGGAAACTACTGATCAGTCTATTTGATAAAAAAATATTTACAAAAATATGGGGTACAACTCTTTCTTGTGTAAAAATACACAACAAAAATTGCACCCCAAAAAGATTATCACCTTTTGGTAAAATAACCCCAACCTTCAATTTGATGGGTCAGCTGACCTTATATTCTTACTCTGTTAGACCCTCACTCCATATGAAGAACCCCAAGCGTTTCTCTTACTCTCCTTCCACTACTCTCATGCACCTATTCCTTTTCCTTAATTTTGTATGCTTGTTATGTTATCTTCTCATCAAGGGTGAAGTGAGTGCAGAAGGATTTGGCCTCTGTCCACTTGGAGAGAAGTCCAATTCTGTCCAGTTAGGTTTGTGGCTATACAAAAAAAAATTAACAATTGTTTTAAAAAATTATACTTATCATCTAAATTTTTAAAAGATAAATATGATGAAATCATGTAATTACAATTATTGGATTAATTTGATTTTTATTTATTGATCTACATACAAAGATTTACAAGATGAACGATTCAGATTATTAAAGTAATACTCATGATGAGACTCACGAGCCCAACTGAACAAAGTTAAACTCTCTCCAATTAGAGAGAAGCTGGTTCCTTGTAAAATTACGTCGCGGTCGTGTTTCTGGACATGATTCATTCACATTGAGAATATTTAGCACAACATGTTTAAGTTTATACATATATATAGTATTGAAACTTCATATATTACACAGATGAATTGAAATTTACATTTCTAGAAATGACACCCAACATTCAGGGAGGAAATGTAATTTACATGGCCACTCATTCCTAAACATATCATACAAATGCAGTAATGCTGCTCTTTTTTTTTTTACTCCCCACACAAATGCAGTAATGTTAGTTGACTAAATTTGGATCCTAAAATTTGAATACAATCCGAGATATGTCATTGATAACATCGGTACATGCATCGATTATATCAAAATTGATATCCAAATTTGATCATCTAACATCATTGTCGACAAATGATCACAAAAAACAAACACATCTATTAAACTATAATTCTGTAACACCACCTATGACACTCATGTGCTGTTGTGATGAAGGTATATATATAATCCTCCAAGCTTTTCTTCATGATGTATGTCTTTTTTTTTCTCCCTTTTTTCTTTTTTTTGAACTACACGATGTATGCCATTCTACTTCTTTGGAACCCAGCATCCATGGAGTCCATATGGAAGACCATAAGGGAACTTTGCCCTGGCAATTTCTTCAAATGTCGATCCGTCTAGTACCAACGCATATCCCTCCCCATTTTTGTCGCTAATCATGGAGATCACCACTCCTACATCGAGACCAGATGCAAGTTAGAAAACATGCACACATACACTTAGAATGAATCAGAGTCCTACATTAATTTTTACGTACATAACATTATTGGTACTGATATAGTACTCACCATCATCTTCCTCTGTAGCACCAGGACGCGGCACAAATAACGGTTCTGAGGGCACGGAACCCTCATCGAACCAATTCTTTGCCACCTTCTCAAATAAGTCAATCTGCAATACAATGAAAACCATTAATCCACCATTTGAAAAGAAAACAAAAAGCTTTAGTATGTCAACTATCAATGTTTAGAAATGTATTATTGTTTGTTGTTATTTTTGTTTTCATAAAGTTGATTTATTATACCTTGGTGAGGGTGTTGGGGAAGTTGCAAGGGCGTTGGGCACCACAAGCATAAGCATATCTGTATTTCTTGCCCAAGAAGGCAGGGTTGATGCTGCACATGTCCATGCCCTTTCCATGTTCATCTGGGTTTAATGCTGCCTCTAACTTCCCAGTTGGAGTCCCATCCAAGGGTATTCTGAATCGACCAACCCTACATATATATAAAAATATATATTCACTGCTTCATTAATCTTTTGCAAACATAGTCTAATGATTCATGCATATATACACACACGTGTGTGTGAGTTTCAACCCTAGGTTTCTTGGACAAATCAAAGTATTATGGATTTATATGTTTGTAATTGACAGAGCTCATGCATGGAGAGGAGGACAAGTCACGTACCCCATTGATTTTTGGAACTAACCATTTTTTACTACTTCAGGGCTCTAACAATTGTTTTTTTTTTTGGAGTACATTAAGGTTGTGTCTGGTTGGAAGATCTAAGAAAATATTTCGAAAGGGAAAGGAAAAGGTAAGTCAAATGTAAATAAAATATATCTGTATTTCACTTAATTTTACATATATATATATATATTCAAATTTCTTCCCAAATTCTCCAATCAAACACAATCTAAGAACATCAATATCATCATCTACCTATGGGGAGGGGGCATGGGGATTCCAGAGTTCAAACCTTAGCCATGAGCACGGGATACATGGTCCCTAACTAACCACTAGGACACTGCCCGCCTTGCTCAACAATTGTTGGATATATATTTTAAAAATAAATTTGAAAAAAATCATATGTTATGATCAAATCAATTTGATTTTTATTTGATTCTATTATTATTATTAATTTATTTATGAATGAGCTTATATCAAATCGTAGGAATGGGGCCATGATAAGGCTTACAACCAGACTGCACAAAATGTCATAGAAGTTGAACTTGGGTGCAATGATAAGGAAATATGATAAAAAAGTGACATGGTTATAATAAAATTTCCATATATATATATAGAGCTATACATCCCAAAACATTTTATCACATAACATATCTACCTATTGAATAAGGACCATTATATATACTCCATCCGTTTCAAAATAATGATTTTTTTTGAGAAATCTAATTTTTTTTGATAGTATAATTATTATATTTTAAAAATATTAATTTTTTAAAATAACCCTTTGATATTATATTTTTTTAGAAATATCAATTATCATAATTGTACTTTTTGTGTTATTAATAAATTTAAAAGAAAGGCAAAATAATAAATTCATATTATACTATTCTTTGATTTTTGAAAATGGATTAATATTTTAGAATAATAAAAAATAAAATAAGAAATTAATATTTTAAAATGAAGGGAATATATATATTGACTTAAATAGTTTACTGAACTTCTTAATCCTATTTTGTTTGCCATATAACGTTAAAGTCTTGACGATTTTTTAAATGTGATGTGTTATACATATACACAGAATTTTTATTATACGAATAAATCTATGAGGTAAAACAAAATAGTAGTAAGTAAAACCAATAATAAACAGTAAATTTCATTTCTAACTTCCCAGTTGGAGTCCCATCCAAGGGTATTCTGAATCGACCAACCCTAGCATCAGGCAAGACGTCTTTGCCGGCAGAGGATCGGAGGTTCTGGAGGCGGAGTTTCTCAAGGATGGTGGTGTCGGCGTGGTGCTCGCAACAGTCGGCGATGACAGCCGTTACTCTCCCATCTTCGTCTTTCTCTTCATATGCATTTATAAAGTGGAACGTCACGTACAGTGGTACTTCCACGCTCGCCACCTAACAAAAAACAAATGAATAAACGAACGAACATCGTATTATAAGACAACGACATATGATATCAATTCTATCTTGGATTCGATTAAGCCGGCTACACATGTCGATACAAAAACATGCACATCATAGTGTTTGCAATGTTGGTACTTGCACTAATACTGCCACATCAATTTTTTGTCGATTTGTTTGAAAAACCTAGATCTTTTCCTAGGCCAATATTAACAAAACTATATTTTGTTTAAATTTTAATTAAATAAATATCAACAAGTTTAATGTTCTACTCTATTTGAGTGTGACTCAATCTAAATTAATACTATACTATTCATTTTCAAATACTTTTTTGAAGTCCATAATTTTTCTTTATAGCTGATAGAAATGGGAGATCCTGATTGGTTGTGTGTGAATGCATATGACATGTGAATCGATCAGAGCCAACCACCTCGATCAACTACTGTGTGTGCATCATTGCCTAATATAGAGAAACGATCAATAATAGTATTTAATAACTTTAGAGAGAGAGAGAGAGAGAGAGAGAGAGAGAGAGAACTCACAATCTTGCCACTAGCTTTGCACATAATATGCATGAACCCTTTGGAGTCAGGGTGCCACTCAAACTTGTAAAGTGGTGTGGGCTCGGCCTTTAGTAAATTTTGGGCACAATACCTCAATGGCATTTCAGGCACAACCACATAGTGTTCAGTCACAGGGTAAGAGTGCACCCAAGTAACCTGGTGCCGGACCACCCCGACAATTCACCCGCCCGATCACCTTTCTCTTGTTCGTCCCCGGCTCCATCCTCACCACCAAGTACCCGGGGCTCACCAAATCCGGCAACAGCGTCAAAAACTCTGTATCGGTCACTATCGGATGAGCCGAGTGTATTAATCCCCCTAATGTGTCACTATACTCAAATTTCCCCAATGTGTCCAATGTGTCGGGGTCAACCACTATCGACCCCTTAATTGTCTCGGTGAGGCAAACCACGCGGCCATCGCCTAGCCTAACAACACCGGTGTTGGCATTATCAGTTAATGATGCACCGGAAAAAAGGTTTGCTAAGTCGCCGATGTAGGCTAGGAAGTTGTCGGGCTTAGGGGCCTCGGAAAATTCACGGTAACAAAGTCTGTTATGTTTTTTCGCCGCCTTGTAGGCCTCAGATTCAATTTGACGGTGACCCATTATTAGGCGGCCATTCTCGAAGTGAAGGCGGACGAGGGTGGCGTAGCCGTCGAAGAGGTGGCGGAAATTGTAATCCCCTATGTGCCATAGGCCCGGGCCATTTCTTAGGTACGTCCCTTTCTGCATGAAAATTACATTAAGAAACTAAATTAATCAATTCACTTATTTAATTTGATAAATCATATTTTTATTCGTGACATTGATATGATACAAAATTGAAAATTTGAATTTGGAATGGGATATGCATGTATTCACTTGAGGCTTTGGTCAAATGCAACATCAATGCCACCAAAATAATAAAAAAGAAAAAAATCAAAAATGGTAAATTATATTATAAAATTTATTCTAGTAAAGGGAATATAATAAATATACAATTAAATATGGATATCGACTACTAATATTATTTTAAGATGACAAAAAAAAAATCTGTGCTCGGTAATGTTTTATCAACAATCTATCTTTGTAAACATCTCGGTGCGAAAATAACAAAAAGTTTACGTAGACACAAGCATTTGATAGTAGAAACGATCACATAAGAGAGATAAAACATTGGGCCCACATCCTTGTGTGTCTATCGGTCATCGTTTCGGTGAAATTAAGATATTATTTGTCATCTCTTATATTAACACATATTTTTTTTATTTTTTATATTTTTTTTTCGAATCAAATTATTATTATTATTATTTAAAATTTTTATATATGTTTTCATAAAAAGTCAAAAAATATATTTTTTTATATCATTTTAAACACCGTCTAAGTGTATAAGTTGAATGATACAAAAGTTAATGAGAAAGAAAAAAAAGTTGAATTTGAAATGTCATTGAGCCTATTAATAAGTGATGAATCCAATGAAAATAATAATAACAGTGATTATGATGCAAAAAGATGAAGAAAAAAAGAGAAGAAAATCCGTTGTGCGTTTGGTTCTGGATTATTGTGAAAAGTTAACTAAATCATATGCTAACTCTATATATAAACATGTTTCACACTTGACCTCTGTTCTATAATAACTTTTATATTAACTTCTGTTCTATAATAACTTTCATAGTATTCCTTGGTAGTTCAAGACCCTGGTTACGTGTTTTATATGTCTAAATAACGACAAAAGAGGAATTCGTAGCCAAAACATACCAGCCAGAGTGGAATCTCGCCTTCGACCACGAGCTCTCCTTCCCACCTCTCCTGCCGGATGCTTGTCCATGCCACAAGCTTCCGGTCACTGGTGGAAATTTTCTTCTCCGGCGGTGGAATAGTTGCAGGCAATTTGCTGGCGACATTGGTGATTGTTAAGTCCCTAGTGCTGTGTTTCTTAGAGAAAACGGATTTCCCACAGAAAGACCCATCTCTAACATGCATGAACTTGTCAGAAACCGCCGTGTATGGTGGCGAAATTCTAGTTCCGGTGGTGGAGAATGCTAGAGAAGCCATGAGAGAGAGAGAGAGAGAGAGAGAGAGAGACTTGGGTAATTAAACTAGGTGATTAATGACATATTTATAGCACTTTGACAACTACGCATATAATAAAATGGCTTGTCAAATAGGTAAATGGAATCTATAATCTGATTTGTTATTGTAATTTTTTAGTTTGGATTTTTGTAATCTCTGAAAGTAGGGTACATGTTTTTTGAGAACTGTTACATGTAGTTTGGTACATGTTAAGAAATGAAAAAAAAAAAAATTATAAATTATGCATGCAAGTTAGTGTAATAAAGAATGTAAAATTTTTTTTAGGAGGAACTACATGCAGGCAAGAGGAGAAAAAAATTACCAACATATGAGGGGTGCAAGTGTATATGCTGTAGGATGCAAATGAAAGACTGTTTTCCTCATGTGTTGATAATTTTTTTCCTCTTCTTTCACTTATATGTAATTTTCTCATTTTTTCAAGTCTACTTAACATGTATCCTAATTTATAATAAAAATGAGAAGGTCGCATGATTAACATAAATTCTATTATTTTGTTTCTAGGAATGTGAAAAGGATTTAAAAAAAAAAAAATTGTTAAGAATTTGAATATGAAAAATAATTTAGCCACCGAATTTGAACTCCCTAACGTTTGGCTGGATAGCCGATCGAACGACTGCCCAGACGACTAGCATCACTTTTGTTAATCGCGACTGTCACCCTTGTCTATCGATGTGTCAATCGGCATCCGACTTGGTGACTAGCATCTTATCGAATGACCGGCTAGACGACCGATATGCATAAATTTAAATAATTCAAACGAGTCCAAAATCGATGGATGTAGTAATACTTTTTGAATATATAGAAATATTTATAGCACTTAAGAACTATGCATTTGAATAGCTTATTAAATATGGATAGGTCAGTTGACCTAGTGGTTCATATGTAGTTATTCCCTTAGGACAGTATGAAGTTCAGCGGTTCAAAATTTAAGTCGATGAAACGACTGCGACCCTTTTATTTAACATCTTATTTTTTTTGTCAAAAATTAAAAAATGGCTTATCAAATAACAAAAATACTATGTATGCATAAAAAATAAACATAAAAAGACTTAGAAATTGGAGAAATTGCATTTCAGTGCAAGTTTCTAAAATAATTTATAAATAAGTGAAAAAGTTTATCAATTTTAAAAATTAAAATTATAATTTTTTTATTAATTTATTAAAATTTTGTAGAAATACCACTCATTTGCAATTTCTCCTTAGAATTTGGTATGGTATTAGTCACATTTTTAAATTTTGGGCATATTATAAATATTTTTTTTATAGGTATGTAGCATTATTGATCAAATAATAAAAAGAAAAATAAAAAATTATTATATGTATCTAGAAAAAGCATACTAAAAATGAAATGTAATGATTAGATTTATTCTGAATGTGTCTCATACCGTATCAAATTTAAATTTATGTCATTATTTAAATTTTCAAATAGTTTTTAAAATATTACTTTTGAATACATAAAAAATTAAAAAAAAAAATTGAGAATCTTCATTGATGGAATCCTGGTACACTAGAAGACAACCATATTACGTACCTAGAAAAAGTATGTAAAAAATAAAATGTGATGACTAGATTTATTTTGAATGTGTCTCATATTGTATCATATTTAAATTTATGTCATTATTTAAATTTTGAAATATTTTTCAGAACATATTGTTTTGAATACATATATATAAAAAATAAATAAAAAAAAAAAAAATTCGAATCTTCATTGATGGAATTCTGGTACACTAGAATACAACTTACATTATACGGTAACAACAATTATGCAAATAACCACTTAATATGACCAAAACTTGTGAGTGGCCACCGAATCAATAATAAATTAAACATGAGTAAACGTATGTCATGATAATGTAAGTACACGTGGCATGATTCATTTTAATATTTATAGATCTTCTTAAAAATTAACAAATACTTTTAAAGATCAGTTAGCAATATCACAATTTAATAAATTTAATTATACCTTATTATGAGTTCTTAAAATTATTTAACCCTACTTAAAAGACATTTTACCAAAATTTTGTAAGCTAGCTAACACATGCTTCTTGTGTGTTTTAATTATCAAAAATAGCCCAAATTAGTATTGTGGGGAAGTAAATTCGGAAATACTTCTCGAATCCAGATGGACTTGAAAGATCCCAACAATGTCATCTAAAACAGATAAATAATTTCGGCCGGTGGTGTTGGAATTAACACTCCGACGGTCCAGTCAGTTTTATGTCTGGTTATTGATATTCCCTCTTTCTTAGAGCATAAGTTATTCCTTAGCCTCCTTCCCTCCTTTATAAAGTCTTTCTCTTGTCCTATCTTTTTATCATGCTTTTTTGGGATGGGACAACATAGTTTTGTCCAACAGGACCTTCCGACTACCCTGGACTACTTGGTTTCGGCATACGGCATGAATATCCCTAATTTGGCATTTAATGTAATTCTCAATGCTTACTTGACGATGATCCATAGCCCAATGAGCTTTGGACTCATGTGACCCAATTGACAGGTCCTGTTCGCAATTGATTATTTTTATTTGGCTCCCAGAAGTATTTAAATCTAAAATTAACCTTAGATCTTTACATCCTAGATTATGAAAATTTGGATGTGTTTTCATTTTTTGTTTCAATTTTTTTGGAAGTGTAAACTCCAATTTTATGTTTTTATAAAAATTCTAATGCTATTAAATTTCTTTTTTCTTTTATTATACAAATTAATTTATTTTGATTTTTTCTTCTCGAACTCGAAGTTGAACTCAACTAGTTACACAATTGAGTTGACTGAAGCTGAACTCAAGCTAAATTATTGCTTAGCTACCCAAGCTCAAACACCCAAAAACCTAATGTGGTTTGCCACCCTAGTCAAGCTTGATCAAGAAAATTTAAAAATATTTTGTTCTTAATTTTTTGAAAAAATTATTTACAAATCCTATTAGAGAGATTTATGTTACATATGGTCCTACTAAAAAATTTATATTCTCATCAGTCCTGTGTGAAGTTTGTTAACACATTTACCCTCAATATTAGTTGTTAATATCATAAATAATGGAAAAATCATATATAGGAAATTGAATATTGCCATAGATTAAGTTTGCGAAATGTAACGTGACACTTACATAAACGTAACGTAACGTGACCATATCAGATGTGACATTACATAAACGTAACGTGACTTGACACCTACATAAACGTAACGTAACGTGTCACGTTACGTTTCGCAAACTTACTAGGTTTTTAATTTTTTTAATTGAATGTGAAAATGTTACTTTCTGTGATAATATTCAATTTCCTATATATGATTTTGCTATTATAGTGTATAATAGTATATTAATACCATTTATTTACAACTCATAAGATCTTGTGGAATATATTCCTATCTAAATAGGACTTGAAACTCTATAAGAAATTACATAGGATTTAACATAGCATAAGTGTCCGAAATAAGACTTATAAATAAGTCTCTCTAATTTTTTAATAGCTGAATATGATAACATTTCATTTTGATATTTAGCATCAGGTGTCACAAAAAAAAAAAACCTTTCGGCCACCAAAAAAATATAGGGCACTCCCTTGGGCCAAAAATCTAAATTTGAAACTTTGAAACAACTGTCCCAAACACTGAGGGTAAAATGAAAAAAAAATAAATAAATAATAATTTGTATTTCTCACCAATATATTTCATTAATCATATATTTATAACACAAAACAAATCAATCATGGGACCTAATATCATATATACCCATAAAAATAAACTTTTAGCTAATTTTTTTTAAAAATCTAGGTATATTTTTACCGGGATAAATTATACTTTACATTGTTTATGTTTGGTCATTTTCTTACTTTGGCCCTTGACTTTTTTTTCCTACTTTGCCCCTTTATATTTCAATTTTTTCTCAATTTAATTCTAAAAATAACTTATGTTCAAAATTAAATAGAAAAGGCCACGTTAACTATCATATAATATAAAAAATATATTTTTGTATTGAGATTTGTGTTTGTGGCAGAAGTGTGAGTTATATATAATGATTTTTTTAATGCTTTATGACTTGTCGATCTCTTATTTTTTTTGATCTAATTTTAAACATAAATTAGCTTTTGAAACAAATTAGAAAAAAAACTTAAAATATAAAAGGTTAAAGTTATAAAAGAAAAATAAATTTTAAGTGGCAAAATAAAATAAAAAAAAATGACCCAACATTCAGGGAGGAAATGTAATTTACTTTTTAATTTTTTTTTTTTTATCGTTACTCAAAAAAAGTTCTTAAATATAATAAAATCTATGCTTTCTCTGTTAGTACGGAATTCGAAGGTTTTACAGTCAACTAAACTTGTGACGGCGTGGCAAGTAGTCGGTAAGTGGAAGGTTGAGGTTCAAGTTAATGAACCAGTGACGGTCAATTTAAATAATAACATAATTATACTAACATATTAATATTATTGTTGGGATACATTTTTAGAGTACTAACACGTGGTCAAGGTAATGTCAACGTGTCAGTCGATGTGTCATGTGTCCGGGTTATGACGCCGAGGTCATCTCGGCAAGGCCGAGGTTATCTCCGAAGATATCAGAATCCGAGATAAGCGGATAAGGCATGAGAGTCCTAGAATGAGGAAGGACTTCAGCATGGATAAGGATAACACTTTTAAGGAGTTTATCTTTATCTCTGGAAAGTCCAGGATAAGCACTGAGTAGGAGTCAATTGAAGGTAGACTTCTGTTGGGACAATGATTGAATTAACTGTAAAAGAAAGGCACCCAGATGGGTCTAAGGTACGCAATTTATATTATGAATAGTGAGTTTAGCATTATTGATTATCTTTGAGAGATATACTGACTTGATCATCGGAGTGCCCCCGGGTGGACGAACCACTGTCGGAATCTTCTCTTTCTGTTGCAGGTCAGACAGGTGTCATCTATTTTGCCAGTACTCTCCAGCTGAATACTAAGTTGGCAGTATGATCGGAAAATCACTCACACAATTATCTTTGACCAAAAAACAAAATA